ATTATGCAGTTTGACCGGTTTTTTAAATGGTTAAAACTGACAATGGATAACAATTCAGAACAAAAATATTACTAAATAAAACTTTCAGGACATATAAGAACAAAATAAAAAAAATCAGATGCTCGATGGTCCTTTGTATATGCTTCCGAAATATTTAAGCAATTTATCTCCTAATACGATCCCAGAAGCAATGTTACTTTGGTTTTGGATCACAGAATGTGCGAGACAGGATAACTATAATGAACACTGGGAAAAGTTCGAAAGAGAGGTTTAAACTACGCACCTTAACTTTAAAGAATTAATTGAAAAGCACAAATCATTGGGACTGTCCACCAATGAACATCAGTTTTGGTTACACTTGACCAAACACCTCATCGTGATCTCATTTCATGGTTGTTTAGGTTCCTCACTACCAAACCCTGCAATAATTTAAATTGGCCCCTACGTCGTGTGTGAGTGTGTGGGGGGGGGGGTGGGGGCATATATTTGTTGTTCCTTCTTTTCTTTTCTCGTCACTTTATTTTATCTCCACCTTTCTGTAAAACCACATCTCTGAATTTGATGGCATCCTCATTATACGGAAATGTTTTCCCCCAATACAAATGATCTCCTTTTAGTTCTTGTCAATTCATTCCTGATTCATGTACCCTAACAATCTAACATGTCCACCAATGCAAAAGTTGACAAAGGAAATCATACCCAGTAGTTTCATTGAGGCCATCCAGATCATTCCATTAGACTCAGAGACACAATATTAGTAAATGATTATTAAACAAAGTACTAAACCAAGGAGAATTAAAAAAGAAAGCCAATGATCAGCTCTGAGAACTGTGATTCCTGTTCACACTTTTTGGCCCCCAGTTTATTGATAAATATTCCATTAAAAAGAGAACGTATACCACATACATATTTACTTTCATCAATTTTTTCCCATCACTTTTGAACCATCGTCTCCTTTTCTTGGGACCAACAATCCTTACGTTTAATGTCTACAAGTAAGGAATATTATGCTCTAGAGTACATTCTTCAGTGAATGAATATTACCTATTGTAGATAATCTATACAAGAGATGATATTCAAAAAATTTTCATTTGAAGTGCCAACCTTGTGTTGGTAGAAAGAAGATCAAAATCAGAAGGGGAGAGAAAAATAAACAATCCCTCCTTTTCCTGAAAATTACTGACAATGTTACATTTGCTGAGCGAAGATATATATACAAGTTGTCTGAGAAAAGAACAAGATCCTGCGAGATCTGCTACCTCTGCCGTGAGATCCAAAATAATCTAATGAATAAAGTCAGTGGAATGAAAAAGACATTTATACAGGGAGGGAAAAAGTTCAAAATCAAATACTAGACTCAGCAAACCATATTTCAGAGTTTTACCTCACTTAAGCACCATAATGAGCTCCTACATTCTGTTCTGCAATGCAAATTGCCAGATTCTGATACTTGTGCCATGTACAAGCTTGTTCAACATCATCAGCCATTCTGGTTCAAAGCTAGTAGTCCATCTAATTACTGATCACTTGACGTTGCCGGTCCGGATTGCTGTAGGCCAGTATCCTTTGTGATTCACATATCTTTTTCTCACCATCAGATGATTTCTTCATTTCAAGCTCAAGCTGCTTGCAGTTTTCTTCATGGGCTTTGTAAAACATCCTCGTGAAGTTGAGCAAGGTTGACACAACTGAAGAAAAGAGAATTAGCAAGAGGATACTTTTCAATGATAACAGCAGATATGGTAGAAAAAAGACCAATTAACTGCATTAGACTTTTATATGGCATTTCTGACGAAGATTTTGAACACGATAAATCACTAGGAAAGCACAAATCAGTCTTCTGAATCTCTGCAACAACCTAGTCATTGGAACTATAATCTATAGTACAAGGTTCAAACACCATAACCATAAAACTAGACGGAGATGAGCTTATTATACAAGCTACAGACAGAAAGGAAAGTTGCAATACTAAGAAAGAAAGACACCTTGCAAAAGGGCAGCGAGATGGATCTTCACCAAAATAAACAATCAACGCGTCCACTTTCCTACCCTGTAGAGTACAGGACTCTCCAAAGTGAAAACCTTTTATATGATCTGAAATATCTCTGAAAACATTAGCTCAAATGCCTACCACGCCAGAGAATAATGAAGCCAGTGATCGAACTTCAGCTTCAGCAGAACGGAGGAAGTCTTTCAAAGTCTGAAAGAACAAGCAATAAATTAAACTCCAACTATGCTACAGAATGCACATAGATAAAGAAACTTGATATTAGAAACAGGCTAATATGGGACTTTAATATCATATATTGGCAATGATAAAAATTATTCAAGTTGATGTAATTATTATCCATTCAAGTTGATGTAATTATTTATCCAAATTTATAATTTGAGCAGTACAAGAATGAACAAGGAGGAAAAAAATCATTCGTGAATTGAGACTAATTTGAAAACCTTCAAACTTATAAAAGAATAAAATACGTGATTATTAAGCACCTTGCGGAATGTCTCAGATATAGGACCATCATTTTCAGAGGTTGAGAGTTCCTGGATAACTTTCTCTAATCCTTTGCTTACAGCTTGCATCTCCTCTGCCAAAAAACTTCAATTGGATCTGCTATAGTATACATGTTAGTCCTTAAACATGCTTATTATTCCCTTAATTTCTTATAAGGACATTCCCACGATCCTTATATGAGTTTTTATAAAACGTTTTTTTCCATAAATATCCTTGTGGTTGATATTCCCCAACTAACTAAACAAAATCTTGATAACTGAAGAACCTCCTCTAATTAATGAACTTCAATCGGGATAATTTTGAAATTTTAAAAGCTTTAGTTAATTTTAACCAAATTCCTTAACTTTTGTAAAATTGTCAATAGGTCCTTGTCTAAAAATGAAATTAGACGGAGTATATTGAAAATTCCATCGCCACAATTCCAACATAATAAAATAAGAAGATCCTTTGAGAAGTCCAGAACCTTTGCTGCAGGCTCTAGGTTAGAAAGATCCTTGGAGAAGTCTAGAACTTCAGGTAATTTGTCAGCCAACACCTACAGGTAAGCATAAGGTCAACTGTTATCTTTTACCAGCTAGAGCAGGTTTCTTTCAAAGAGAAATACAAGAAAAGAGATTAAGAGGGGGGGGGGGAAGACCCTCGGTTAACAAAGAATGAACCAATGAATGTGACAAGGAATAAGCATCAATATCCACCTTACAAAGATAATGCATGAGAGTCATCTTGTTGTTCCGTGCTCGTGTCTCAGTGAGTTTAAGAAGGCTGTCCAATCTGAATCCAATAGCAGAACCTAAAAGACGGGAGAAAATAAACTATGATAACCTTGTGAGAATGACGATATATCTTCCCCTAGTTACATCTGAAACCACATAGACATAATGCCTAACAGTTGAAAATAAACACAAGGAAGAAACAAACTACAAGTAAAGCTAGAATTGGGAGGAGAAGGCAAAATAAGTTATTCCCATAAAAAAGGAGAAAAATGATGTCTAAATATTCCTTCCCTTGTTAGGATGTACAAACTGATATGGTAATACATTGAAAAAGGTCATTCAATATAGAGAATAATTAATTACGAACATACTTTTATAATTGTGCAGCTAGGGGGCTTTGAGGCTTAAATTATAGGATGTTTATATTATAGTTAAAAAACCTTCATTCTCCTCCCCCTCCTGTCATGTGAAGAAATAATGATAAAGGGAAATTCTAAATAGTTGTTGAATAAAGTTGCCATGGGTTTTCTAAAATGAATGTCGAGGATAGAGCTTCTATATTTCATGAGAAGTCTTGGAGAGAGCTTAACGAACTTTACAAGGTCAAATAGCCATATTGTTCTGCCTTCAATCCAGGATGGATAGTCAAACAAACCTTTTAAATAGGTTCTTAGAATGGTATTTATGTTGCATGACAAGTGGTCAGCTCTAAAAATGGTTGAAATGGCTTTATCTCTCTGAATATTGACATAACACTTCATAGTTCATACCATTCAGCCACGGGGATGTCACCATTTGAAGCCGTCAATGGGATCAAGCTAATATATGCCAACTTGCTGGGGCTTCATTCAAAATTTTTTAATTACAAATATGTTCTTAAACATTGAGGTAATTTTCTATGCTATAGGAATTAGCCAAGTTAATAGTGCATTCAACCTATATTTTTCAGACATCTATGTTAACTCACCTCTAGCAGTTCCTTGTTCAAAGCATTTCCCAAAGAAAGTATCGTTTGCATAATTCTCTTCAATTTGAAAGAATTCCTAATCTGATAATAATCATCACAGAATAAATCTAGAATGTCATTTCTTATCATAAAAAAAAAAAGAAGATTGTTAGAAAGAATTGCTAGAAAGAGGCTTTTAGTAGGCAATAGGATAACGTACCTCTTCTACAGTAGCATCTACAATATTCAGGCTTTTTCTAAGGTCAGAAACCTACATAAAATATTTCAATGTTAGACTCTACATCAAATAAATGCCTTTTTTCCCCCCTCTTATAAGCATGCTATATGGCACCCTTCATCACCTGAGATTGGAAATGAATCTTGAATGAAAACACTCTGAGTTTGGACTCTACCCTGGGTACTTTCATCAACTCTAGGAAGAACTGTAATGATAATAAAAGATGGCATAATAATCCACATGAATTATGAACTTGAATGGAAAATTAATTGATAGCTTCATTATCACTTATAGGTTTATAGCCCTCAGAATCTAATAACGTGTGAAACAGTGAAAAACACATACCTGTTCACACCTCCCTAACTTCTCCTTTTCTCCAGTATAACCCTTCAACACCATCAGTAGAAGTCAACAAAATTTGAAAGGAAGAAGTGACACATCATACCATATTACTAGAACATAACTTTAACAAAAGTTTTACAGACGTCTAAATAGTCAACAGTGAAAATTAATCATCTGAAGCTAGCAAATTATACAATCACAATCTCAACCAACCTTGAGTAATTCCATCTCCTCTTTGTAGGACAAAACTTTATAAGGTTTTCAACCTGATCAATGTCTAGTGCTGAGTCCTCTAGTGCTAGCACTGAGCTCTGGAATATTCCAAACCACACATAATAGACCAAAACAAAATCCAATTAGCACTCATCAATTCATGATGGTTTGACATGATGAAAAATATTGGATAAAGAAAAATATCGCCAGGCTATCAATCTGTTTGCAGCAGCAACAGTTCACGAGCCTGAAATTGCATTGCTAGAATAGGGGTCGATTGAGCTCTTGTTGGTGTGTTACAAACAAATTTGAGAACCTGGTAAAAGTTTGGACTACCATTTCCCCATAAATTGAGATAGCAACATCAAGTTAGAGCCTATTCCAAAAATCATCAACATTATTCTTTTTATGCACTCGTCATTAACACATTACAAAAAAACTTATATTTTTTGTTCAAGTGTAGAAAAATTCAAATATGAATCAGAGAACAAAACCTCTTTTGACCAGTAATCAAGCAATAGTTTCCTAGCAGTCTACTTATAATTTAGAGCTAGTTGAATTTTTATACCAAATTTCTTGAAGCCAATGAAAGTAACATTGATCCTACCATCAAATCTTGCAATGGCACTTTTACTTTTGAAAGCATGATTTCACAATTATATGCTCTTCTGTGCTCAACCTGTAAAGAGTGAAGATATTAATCACATATAAGTGGTAAAGTCAATGTAATCTTTCAATCATGATCAAATAAGGTATGTGACAACAAGAAAACGATAGGTAAAGACTAGCAGCATCAGGCCGATAAACATTCACTATTTTACAGGCGACCCTGAACAAGCAAAATGCCATAATTCCTAGATTATGCAATCCAAAGAAAAAGCTACAGAATAACTGGAGCCAAGATTGGTTGATTGTCCTATATTGTTATAATAATTTTAAACCATACATCAGTGCGTAACATTGGAAATTTCAATTTGTCATCTTGAGACTTTAATGACAAGGAGACAGGTAGTACTAAAACCTTAATGGTGAAGTAAACCATACACCAGTTGTGTGGGTAAACATTACTACTAAACATAGCTCCAGGCAATTATTTTTCCTGCATTTTCCTACCGTTAAATACATTCAATGTGAGCATAAACATTCTGGGAAATTGAAAGTGTATATAAATTACCAGTTGCACTTTATCAGATTTAGGCCCAGCTGAGCTTCTGCCACCTACTTTCTTGGCGGGGCCTGAACTTGGGACTGCTGCTGAGAAGAGACTCTCAAGCTCTGACATATCAATCTCTGGGGCTCTGAATCAAGAAGACCAGAAAACATGTGACACCACAATAACAAAATGACCATCAACCTTAGAAAATGGAACAGCTATACCAAATCAGACATACTTGGAAGCTTCACCAGATTTCGCTGCCTCATGCCACAGACTTCCTTGCACTGCTCTAGATATTTTCAGCCAATGCAACGGCTTCAGCTTTTTTTTTGTTACTACTTATTGTACGAGATAGAATTCGTCCTCGGGGTCCTATCGTACTAGATGCAATATTTCCATCCCCTGATTTTAGATCTCCTTTACTAATGGGAACAGGAGGTGGAGGAGCATTAGGAGCAGCAGGAACAGATGTAGAATTCTGCAACAAAGGATTAGGGTTCTTGGAGGAGAGTTCTGCAGCAGGGGGAGGAGGAGGTGGTGGTGGTGGTGATATGGTGGTAGAATCAGCTTTCCTAGGAAGACGTGGAGGAGGAGGAGGAGGAGGAGGTTTAGCCCTAACAGGTGGCTGCACCTTCAAAGGAGGTGGTGGAGGGGGTGGTGGTCCAGTTTTAACGTTAGGCTCCTCCTTTACAGGAGGCCGTTGGGGAGGAGGGTGTCGAAAATGTGGTTCTTCCATTGGTGGGGGTGGAGGAGGCATGACTCTAACCGGTGATTGCTTTTTCTGTGGAGGTGGAGGTGGCGGCGGCGGGGGAGGTACAGCTCTAACCAGTTTATGCTCCTTTTGAGGAGGAGTCGTGGGTGTGGGTGGTGTTGGAGGTTGTGAAGTGGATGAAGCAGGTCTAGTTCTAACAGGTAGAATCTCCTTCATAGGGTTGTAGGGAAGGAGATGGCTGAGTTGAAGTCATAGATGAAGCTGAAAAATGGGAAGCAGCGTCAAGAGGCAACTTATTTGGAAAGGCACTTGATAATGATGTTCCAGATGTTGAACTAAAGATTGATGACTCGCTTCTGTCTTTTGATTGGGCTTCAAATTCGCCAGTAACAGGATATCCTGGTCCTAGAGGGGAAAGATAAGAAGGTAGTTGTGTGTTGGGTGGAGTATCAGATTTTCTAAGCAAGGAAGGATTCTGTGGAGGTGTGTTTGGTGAAAGTGATTCACTAGAAATGTCTACAGAACTAGACATGGCAAGATCATGCACTTGTGCTTCTACATCAAACTTTGTAGAACTTGTCACAGGTTTACCAAACTCCGGGATTCATTATTTGATGACAATAACCTTTTTGCTTCATTCTTTTTTCCCTGAGGCACTCTAGAATCTTTTTCATGCAACAAAGATCCAGTATCATGCTGCTGAGTAGAAATTCTATCTATCTGGTCATGCACCGAAGCACTAATTTGTTGGAGTACATTTAGTGCAACATCAGCCTTAGGATTCAACCAGTCCACATGGTTAAAGATCTCCTGAACTTTGGCAAATGCTTCCACTGGCAGTCCCTCCTTCTCCTCAAAGCATGAGGTACCATCAGCAATAACAGCAGCAGCAGCATCCATCTCTGAGAAAAGGATCTTAATGCAAACAAAAACCAAATGAATAAATTTCATGTTAGAAATATCTGACTGACAACTACACAGTTAAAATTGGTATACAGAGATATACCTCCGCTCTGAAATCCTTGGGGAAGTCATCCTTAGCATCCCATAAAATATCAACTTCATCCCGGTTAAGCATCAATATGTTGGACCTAATAAAAGCTGTGTTGAACATGACTCGGAACATCATCCGTTCGTGGTCCATATCACTGGTCAAGTTAATGCATTCAATCACAACGTCACCTTGGATATGACAGTTGATGTCAATTTTAATTAGTTCACACTCTCCCTGCAACACAGAAGTAAGGAATTCAGAAGCAATTACCAAACCTGGACATATTCTAGTTCATCTTGTAAAAAAAGTGAAAACGTATAAGCCAATATAAAGTACACAATGAGCACTCCAGCAAAATAGGCTTCAAAAGAATGGGGCCTTCTGAACTCCTCCAAATTGTTGCAGGCCTCTGATGAATGTTGAAATTTCCCCCAAAAAACCCTTCTACGTATCCCCAAATCCTAAACGGGGAGTGTGTAACTTTTCACTCCGTTTTTTTTTTCCCTCAGAAATTTCCTTCTCTTTTTTTCATTGTATTATAAGGAAAACTGATTCCAAAGATTACTCCACGGGTGCAACCTCTTGGACAATAGACTAAGACCATCCTTAGTCCTAATATGAAACTCCTATGTTTTCAACAATGAACAAGACACGACATTTTCTACAGCTATAAATGCGCATACATATGTCTAACATTCATTTCCTACACTTCTGAGCTTCCAAAACTTAGTTGCCAATTTAAACCGAATTACAAGAATAGTAGGTTTGAGCTGAGCCATAATGGCTTATGAACTACTTGCATCATTGAACCGATTGATGGACGTAACCCTCAGATGTGTGTTTTTTCTTTTCTTCTTCTTCTTCTTCTTTTTTTTTTTTTGTGTGGGGTGCGGCGTTCAACAGGATGCCCCCCGGGGGCAGGGGATATTATTGAGATATTTTATTTGACTTCTTGCTTTCTTCATTTATTAATGACTTCCCACATAGCAAGCTAAACAAGTCAGATGTCACCATGTACAAGAACATAACCTTTTTTGCACAAAATTTTTGACCCCTCCATTGCATCTCAATTGAAAAGTCTCCACAAAACCAAAAAAAAGAAAAAAGATGAAAGTGAATAGACTATGACGGAGAAAACAAACCATCAAAATTTGAGCAACAGAGGGCTATTATACAAAACAATTGGGCACAGCAACTCCCAATTTACTCATATTCATGCACCACATCATAGCTTCTATCAGTTGACAAAGTGTTTTTACAAAAATATTGATGCTAAGAATTCTAAATGTCAGTATTTGGTCAGTATCAGTAAATATTTGTTTGCTTATCTGCACAACACAACTCCAAATCTCATTTGTTTTTCATGTGCAATCAGTGCGTGCCTCCAACGAATCTTAGGACATCACCAATAGTTCCAAAAAACCAAAAGAAAGACCACAATTTCTTGCGTGAATTTTCTTCATTTACCCACATAAAGAGAAGAAAATTTTCTACTTTCTAAAGAAAGTGACCGAAAGTGCTAGAACAATGGATGTACATAATGATAAAATTTCACCTGCTTGTAAAACCGGATGGTTTTATTTTTCTTCTGTGTTGAGTACAAGATTTTTGGAGTTTTATCTGCAAGAAAAGGATCTTGTCCATAAATTCGAAATACAGGACAGCATCCACCTTCCCCATCAAAGTTCGGGAAACATCTGAGAATGATGCAGTCCAACGTAAGCGCCCTGTCCAATGGCGGCCAATCTATGGCCACATTCCTCCTGGAAATATACTGCAGATACCGCAGCTGGGAAGGAATTGGATTTAACGGTGACAAAAACTGCAAAAGCTCACGTGGAGCCTGCCTGTAAACCATATCCAAAGTTCTCTGTTCTCCGCTGTATTGCTTTCGATAAATCAAAAGCGCAGCCAGCATGAAAGCCAAAACCGGCCAGCCACCACGTTCACAGTGCATCAACAGAACATTATGCTGCCCAAGCGAGAGCCAACTTTCACTCGACCGTAAAAAGTGGTGGATGACCTCCATCTTGAGCACTGGGCAGCCCTCATATTGCCGAGGGTAGTCCATTATAGTCATATCGTAGTCTGACAAGATGTTAGCCATCTGACTCTTTGTTTCTTCCTGGCGGAAATTGAAGACCAAGATCGAAGCATCAGGAAAGTGCTCTCGAAGTTGAGCAACAATTCCGTCAATGTAGACTTTATAGTTTTCTTCATTCCAAGCATCCGTCATGAAGCAGCAGTCGAAAACTGGACATACAAATAGAATGCACAACATTCAGTAATTCCCCTTCTTACATAATCTATATATTCAACTACTTAACCTCATTTTTTATCTTAAAACTGCAAGATACGAAATTGCTGCCAATCATGTATTCCATTTTTGGCAGGGAATTTCACGGGGCATAGCCATGTCCCATCAATCCACTTAAGGGGAGGAGAAGAAAAAAAGAACAGTTAAGAAAGGAAACATAAAAGGAATATTCTGATTATGGCCCGCCGTCACATCACTTTCCCGCATTCCTCAAACAACCAAATAGACCTATGATCTACAACAACTTGACGAATTATCCATGAGAGAATGCTTGACACACAGTATCCAACAAATGCAATCAGAAGAGAGAAGGAAAAGAGCTAAAAAAAACGTGTGGAATAAGGAAAGTACCATAAACTCTCTCACAGATCTCAAGAAGCCCATCGGGGGGCTTACGAAAGAACAATTTGCGCAGCAAAGTCATGTGTAAGCTCGGAATCCCAAATTCAGTTCCTCAATGATAAAATCCCGACCAATCATAAGAGACCTGCGAACTCCGAAACGAGAAATTTCATTCGGTGGAGGAACACTTTCCAATCAATCCGCGTTTTATATACTCAGAGATTGAAAGCGGTTTGAGAAAATGGAAGGAAATTATAATTATGATAACAAAATCGAAGTGAATTTGTGATCTTCTGTTTTCAGAGTGTGGAGGAGGAGGTGGTGGCCGTGGCGGGGATAGACGGAGATGGGTTTGTTAGTTTTGTTTGCGCAGGTGAGTTGTTTTGGGAGCTGAAGGTTACCGACCGACTCAGAGTGGTCCCGTGCGGGTGACGTGGACACTTGGCGATGAGCCACGTGTGCCGTCATCCCAGAGAAGGGTAATTTCGGTAAGTGAGTTTTCAATCTTGTTATGTGAGATTTGCCTTGACAGCTACCACTTCTGACATTTCCGTACAAGGCGAAATCACATGTTTCTTTCATCTCTATCCGTTTTCGCTGAAGTCTATATTAATGTTCGGGGGCAAAAAACCTAATTCTGCCAACTTAGATAATTAATTTAAATTTAAAAAAATTAATTAAGTTAATTATTACAGTAAGTGTGTATTAGTTTTTCAAATGATCTCTTTAATATAAGACGTTATTAAAATAATTAATACTCTTTCAGTCTTTTATATATAATCTAATTGTTAAATTAATTTTGATTTTAAATATAGACCTATTTCAGCTCAAAAAAATATAAAACCTATTTTTTATAATTATAATTTTTTAAATTATCCCTATAAATACTCCTTCAACTATAATCAAGTAGAAAAGGGAAGGAAGATATTAAGAAGATGATTATAGTGTTTTAAGAAAAACATTTCATATTTCTTATAATTAACTAACTTACCTAACTTTCTTAATCTAATCAAATTAGTTAAACAGATCTTATATTAAGGATCAGAGGAGTATGATTTTTTTTAATTTCACCCCTATTAAATGGAGGAAAGAGATGAGAGAGATAAAGCAATTTTATCATTTTTTTAAGGATAAAATAAGAAAAATTTATAATTTTAAAACATAAGACTAAACTTTCATTTCTTGAAACGTGAGAAAAGTTAAACAACTTCTTATATTATGAATAGGAGAGAGTATATTGGAAATAATCCTTACACCCTAGTCCTCTATAATTTTTAAGGATTCCATCTTACAACTTTATTTCTGAGTTGGTCCAGTTAGTAAAGAGCCAGTTCTGTAAACACTCTCTAAATCTAGAGTCATGTGTTAGCCTTATGAGGCCTGTAACTCACCTAATTTTTTTCCACAAAAGAAAGAAAGAAATATGGAAAACATTATGTTTAACTTTGTACAAAAAATGTCTAGCCCATTTTACGTGTAATGTAAAATTTATAAGTTGTGGTATTCATTTTAAGAATATATATGTAATTTATAAAAAAGTCAAATTTATTTTTTTGATACCATATTTTATTTTACATTACAGAAAGCCAATTTAAAGTCAAAGTAAAATAATCAAGTACCATTTAATAGGATCATGTACATTTTATTCGTTACATCAGAATAAGAATACGAATATTACATAAAATACAAATGAACTCGTTACGTTACAGCCTTTTAGACGTGATTGAGAATCTATGTTATCTTTTTTTTTTTTTAATTTCAAAAATTTTAAAAACATTCTAAATCTTGTACTTGAGGCTAGAACTAATTATTTAAAAAAATAAATATTAATAATTAATAAATTAAGAAATATGTAAATGATTGGTCATTGGAGTCACTATTTTAAGTTTCCTTTTTCTTGAACTAAAAGAACAGGACGCGCGAGAATTATGAAAATCTCTACTTTATTGAGGCATCTTGATGATATTTCATAATTTTTTAATAAAATATTATGCTTATAAATAAATTTTTGTATTTGAAGATGACATATTGAATAAGTTAGAATGAATGACCTTTTTTTTTTGGGTTTGTTTTTGGGGTTATAATTTGTGCTTCAAGTTTTATCAAGGGTCAATACGTATCTTTATTATGAGTGCCTTATAAGATATTTGTTATGAACCACACCAGAAATAACTACTTAAAAGTAATTGTTTATAAATCCTATACCCTAAAACATCAAAATTTCACAACTACCATTTTTATCATTTGCATGCTGGTCAGTACGTATCTTTATTATGGAGGTTTCATGTTGATACCATAAATGTTGGTAAAGTATCTTTATTATTGAAGTTGTGTTTGATTCAAGGAATGATTTTGTGGGGAATAAATATAGAAAAGAATAATAGTAAATGAAATTTAATTAGTTAAAATAATGCTAAGTATTTTATTTGTAGAACATATTCAGATGTGCTTGTAATACGTTGAGTTTAGTAATCTTGTTCTGTCTGTATTAGTTAGGTGTAGTTGGGCCTACACAATGGGCCTAGATGCTTATAAATAGACCTTCTTGTAATCAGTTTTGGGTGTGAGACCTTATCAATAATAAAACGTATTATTTCCAGTTACTGTTCATGGTCCATTATCATGGTACCAGAGCCTGCGCACATTTGTTGATCCGTTTGGGCTCACCAGTTCATTGTTGAAGATTAGGGCACTATTGCTCTGCTTCATCTCCGTTTGTCAATTCTGTGTGATCAGAGTTCAAATCCTGCAACTGTACTCTAGCGATCAAGTGATCGCTCCTTTCTTTCTTTCTTTTCGTTCCCTACCCCGTACGCGTTAGTGGAAGCAGTTTCGCAGTTGGTCCATTGAACTTTGTCTCGCAAGCATACAACTTCCGCGTCAAGGGTCTCTGTTTCGCAAGCGTCCAAGTGCTTCGCCGTCGCTCGCTTCTCGGTTTCGAATCGTCGGGTTCTGGTGATAGCCGACATCGTTACTTCCAATTTCCTCACCACCGAAGATTTGTTGTACGGTTCTTGGTCAAGGCGTGGCTCCTGTGAGTTGACGAGCTGTGTTTTCGGTGACAACTTCTTCGGATCAATCAAGATTCATCACCATGGCAGACAATGATTCAAAATCTCAGGTTCTTGACTTCCAACACCCTCTTTACCTCCATCCTGCTGATACACAAGCCAATACGCTTGTCTCCCAAGTTCTCCGTGGCTCTGACAATTACTCTGTCTGGAGTCGAGCCATGGAATTAGCACTTCTTGGCAAGAATAAACTGGGGTTTGTTTTGGGGACGTGTACTCATGAAAAGCAAGATTCCAACCTCCAGGATCAATGGGATCGGTGTAATGCCGTGGTGCTTTCATGGGTAATTAATTCTGTAGATACCCAGATTGCTAGTGGTTTAGTTTTTGCGTCAAATGCACACTTAGTATGGACGGATCTTAAAGAGAGATTTGCTGTGGTTGATGGTGCGAAAATTTTTTCCTTATACCGTTCAATAAACTCCCTCACCCAAGGCACTTTATCTGTATCTGCCTATTACACTAAACTAAAGGAACTGTGGGATGAGCATGCAACGATGGTTCCTATCCCTAGCTGTTCATGTCCTTCTTCCAAGGAATATGCGAAAAGTATTCAGGAGCAAAGGTTGTTCTAGTTTCTTATGGGCCTGAATGAAGTTTTTCACCAAATACGCAGTCAAATATTATTGATGAAGCCTCTGCCATCCCCCAATCAAGCATACTCCATGGCTATTCAGGAAGAAACGCAGAGACAGATATCTTATGGGACATCACATTCCTCTTCTGAAGGCTCTATTTTAGCCTCTAATAATTCAAGAGGAGGCAGAGGACGTGGCAGAGGGCGTGGTAGAGGAAGATCAGAACAAGAATGTAGTTACTGCCATAGAAAGGGCCATCAAAAGGAAAGCTGTTATCAACTTATTGGTTTTCCACCGAATTTTGGTTCTAATAAGACTAAAAGGACTCCTGAGGATAAAGGAAATCAAGCTGTAAATGGAGCTGATGATTCTGGGAAATCAAGCAACAACCAGGATGTTCCAAACTCTCAGGCTCCTTGGTTCACACCTGATCAGTACAAGCAAATATTGGAATTACTCAAACGTGATTCAGATCCAAATGAGGCTGCTGTAAGCATCCAAGCTACAACACCAGGTTTGGCAATAAACTTAGACTCTGAATGGATATTAGATTCTGGGGCTAGTTGTCACATAGTCTGTAGTTTATCATATTTAGATAAATATACAGTTTATATTGGTCCTCCTAAATGGGTCAAGGTCCCAAGTGGGGAAAGAATTCGAATAACACATATAGGGGAGGTTAGGATTACAAAAGACATTTTTTTGAAAAACGTTTTCTATGCTAGACCATTCTGTTACAACCTGATTTCTGTTGCCAAGCTTACTCTTGATAGTTTATATGTTGTCTCTTTCTTCCCTAACATTTGTATACTGCAGGACATGTTCAATGGGATGATCAGAGGGATTGGTAGACTTACTAGAAGCCTTTACCTGTTAAAGAGAGAAACTATACATGGTTCTTTAAATTCTGTAAACAAAATTGATAATCTGAATGATACAAATGTTTCTGTTTGGCATTCTAGACTTGGGCATGTGCCCATAGATGTTATGAGACACTTGATTGGTATAAAGATTTCTGATTGTATCTCTGACAGTAATAAGTGTGAAATTTGCATTCAGGCTAAACAGCCTCGGTTGCCATTTACTCCTAGTGCCTCTATATCTAGTTTCTGTTTTGAATTATTGCACATTGATGTATGGGGTCCATATAAAACGCCCACGCATCAAGGACATCGATATTTTCTTACTATAGTTGATGATTATTCTAGAGGAACTTGGATTTTTCTGATGCACTTTAAATCTGAGGCTGTGAAGTTTGTTAAGACTTTTATTGCTCATTCTGAAAATCAGTTTTCTGTCAAGATTAAAGCAATTAGAACTGATAATGGATTGGAATTTGTCAATAGTCAAATGCATGAATTTCTTAGTAATAAAGGCATTGTACATCAGAAATCCTGTCCTTTTACACCTCAACAGAATGGAGTTGTTGAAAGAAAACATAGACATATTTTGAATGTGACTAGGAGTATTATGTTTCAGTCTCATATTCCTGCTAAGTTTTAGGGAGAAGGGGTTCGAACCGCTGCCTATTTGATTAATCGAACACCTTCTAAGTCATTAGGTCATGTCACACCATATGAACTAGTTTACAAG